ATCATTAATTCAGCAATTCAATTAATACTTGCTGCATCCTTTATCATGCACAAGACACTCTGCTAAAAGAGAGAGGTGAATAAAACAATTTGCTTTTAAGGAACTTGGTAATGGTGGAAGACAAGTAAAGAATTTAATACAAATAAGACATGCCAGAAATACCCCAAGAAAGGTATAAATAAACACTAGATTCAAAGAAGGTAAGAATTCCACCTTGGAGAGATCAGAAAATGATTCAGGGAAAGAAACTAAGGATTAGCTGGATTTGGCAGGATTTCGTGCGGCGAGAGAGAGGAAGTGGGAGAAAGCACAGGGGAAGTTTAGAAAACAGTAAGGAGTCTAGTTTGGCTGGAACAAAGTGTGCAGAGTGGAATGGTGGGAGAGATTACTAGAAAGTTAGGACCATTAGGAGATTCTAAATTCTGCTACATTTTTAATAGGAACCAACATAATTGGAGCCACATTTTAGTACAAATAACCTGGCAATGGACACTTAGAACAGAGTCAGATGGGGAGAAAGCAGAAGCAAAGAGACCTGTTAAGAGGCATGGAGCAGAATCTAGGCAGGAAGTGAACCAAGCACCACCTTGCTGCAGAAATGAGAATTCCAGAGGGAAATAGCTGGTAGCGCACCACCACCATTCACAACCAGCGCTCACCTCTGTGTTTCTACTGCTCCTTCTACTCCTCTGGCTCCACAGTCCATGATGAGGGAGCCAGGATGGTAGAGCTGTTGGGCAAGTGAACACAGATGGCCAAGGTACAGACCCGGCTACCAAAAAGCTGCTCTCATTAAGTCATCCCGTAAAATAGTACACTCTTGTAAGCCAGATAAAATATTTTAATTACCAACTCTAAGTATTAACTATTAACAACATTCATTCTATATACACTTAAAAAATTAAAGAACATGGCCCCTATCTGGCAATGCCATAGCACATCAATGTCAAATATATAAAAACTAAATTTACTTTTTTGAAGGGGAGCCAAAATAACCATAAATGAGTCTTTGGCGCCCCCTTGTGGAATGTTTAGTGTGAGCTTTGAAATATTTACCCTCTTCTACACAGAAACAATGGGTATTTCCATCTTTTAAGATATTTAAAGCACTTCCTACATATATTACACTATTTTAAAGAGACACTATTTAAAATAAATCCATATTAATAACTTAATGCAAACTAGGAACATAAGAGGTCAAATGTTGAAAATATTCAGTAAATTTTTGTGTCATAAATTTATGACGGTTTTCCTTTGTGTCATAAATTAAGCAAAGGTAATTGAAAAAATTTTTTAAAACTTAGATTTACACAGTGCTATGTAAGTATCAAAAATATTTTCTCAATAGTACTTCTACCCTTAAATTACTGCTAAGAAATCCGTAAGACTTTGTTAAGTCTTTAAATAGGTGGAATAAATTTAAACATCCATATTTTTGCCCACAGAAATGCTACCATAAAACAATCAGATAGCACTTAAAGTGCTGTTTCACTTTATATACTACTTATCACAAGTTTATTACCATTTTTTTTCCCAAATGAGGGGGGTCAGAAATGGGAAATATCTGTCCTTCCTGGAACCAAGTGGAAGTCAAAGAGAAAGAAAATTCCTGCCATTAGATAGCACGGCTGCAGGGGGACACATCACAGGAGGAAAAGACAGATTCTTACCCTAAATCAGTAGAAGGTAAAGCATTTATTGGTTTTCCCCGGAATTAATACTCATTCTTTTCCTTATGCCTTCATTAAGAAACAAAACAAAATACAAAAATAAAGTGCCAAATTTAATCATCCCCCTTGTTTTGAAATCTTGGAAACAGAGTAGTCCCAGCAATAAATGTTTGGTGAACCTTTTCTCATTACTTTCCCTCATCCAGTAATCAAAACCTGTTAAGAATGTAGTCATTACTAGAACGTGGTAATGCTCTTGTCTTCATGCCTTGTGTCTTTTGATTACAAAGGCCTTGGGAGCAGTGGCCTCTGGAACTGAGATCCCAGATAATAATGTATTCATGCAATTCATTAGTTCATCGAAGATACAGTTGTTTAAGCCACTCATGAGCTAACGAACTACTCTATTCAGGCAAAGTTGTTCTAAATTAGAATTATTTTTCTCCGGTATACCAATAATTTTTCCTAATTGGCAAAACAATCCATTTAAGACACAATAATTATATGCATAATGAATTTATCAACAATGGTTCTGCAAAGAGTTTTGTCACATACAAGTGACAGACTCCCTCTGCTAGAATTCTAGCTCCCCTCACTTGCTGTCTGTGCAATCTTAGACAATTACCCTTATTCTTGGTTTCCTGATATAAAAAAAGGAATGATAATAAATGCATTAGAGTCACTTTGAAGAATAAATGAGTTAACTCATGTAAAGAACTTGGAACAGTGCCTGTATATAGTAAATGCTCAATTAATGGTATATTGAAATTTTTTTTCAACCATTTTTCACAAGCAGGTTAGAGACGACTTTACAGCTTCATTCAGCATAGTGCTAATGATACCAAGGTCAGACATTCTACCCCAACAAATGTTATTTTGTTTTATTGTATTCATATAGCCAAATGTGTAACACCGGCTGGTGTAACACAGAGTAATTTCGCACTACATCATTTCTTTTAACTTCCCTTATTTACAGTTAAAGAAATATACTCAGAATCAGTAAGTGATATGAATAAGGGCACAGCTAGCAGGTGGTTCAGGATACCAAACCCAGCTTTCTGATTCCTGGTCCAGTGTTCCTTCCACTGCACCCTAACTAATTGTAAGAAAAGTCAACTAAAACAATGAGTAGACCAAACAAATCCACTGATTACATGTTTAAAAGAAACTTAAGAAGTCATTTAGATTCCACTTTTTTGTGTAATCAACTCTTAGTCACTGAAATCAAACATTAAAAAAATTAACACATTATTAAGGTAGAATTATAATGGTTTACTTAAATAGAAAGTAACACTGGTAGCGCTAAAAAAAAATTCCACTCATTCAATGAGTATTTATTGAGCACCTGCTACTTGCCTGGCACTAGACTAGAGATGCAATGGTATTTAAATCAAATACGACACAGTCCAGGCCTTCAAAGAGCTTACAGTCTCTTGGGGAAAAAAAATTAAGGAAACAATTTAAGTAAAGTGCACTAATCCCCATGACAGAGGAAGCACAGGACGCTCCTGGACCCTCCAGCTGGGGCAGCTGCGCTGGCCAGTTACTCTAACACGTGGTGATTTATAATTAGGATATTGATGATTATTTTCTGGATAGCTGGAGAGTTTGCTTATTAAGGTTGTTCATGCCTACCATATGCTTTTCTTCCAGTTAACCTACCTACCTCCTGACTTCATCACAAATGTAAAACCAACCAAGAAGTGTGGAATCAGCTTCATTCATTAACTTGAATTCCCATGCTGATCTTTTTTCTTCAGAAAGTTTCATTATAAACTCATTTAAATATGTGGTACTAAGTCCTTATACTATTCCAGTCATATCTACTTTGTTATAATATTCATTCCACTTTAAAGCCAGAAATATTTTTTAAAAATTGAACTTCCATTGTTTAACAGTACCTGCAGTAGAGAGGAACATATATAGATGACCAGTTTCTAAAACTAAATGTGGTTAAAAATCTACTTTTTCTCCACAGGAGTAAAATAAAAAATTACATTCTAATGGACTGGGTAACCAAAAGATGACAAATGTGATCCCACTGAGAGGGCAGTGTGGTTGCAACACATAAAACAGTAACAAAGTGCCTTGTAATGGGCTAGAAATAGGATTCCAGGTTTCTACATTGCACAACTGACAACTTCATGTGTAAAAGAAATTTATATGTGACTCGTGGCAGGTTAGACTAAGACTCCCATTGTGAATAACCACATATATCTAATAATTTACTCTTTACATCTCCTTAGTTGTCAATTTTAAGTAAGTTTTATTTAACCAGAAGTCTGTCCAAATATGATACTCATTAAATTAAGAGAAAGATTGAGGTTACAGAGTAAATTCAACAGAACTTCTGAAAACATTTTATTTATATTTCATTTCAGTCAAATAGTCAAAGATTTCAAAATCTGCAAAAGCCATCTGTCTCAAGTTCAAAATTTTAAAAATTATTCGGAAAATTATTTTTTAAAAGTGACTGAAGAACATTTCAACATAGGGTGATGAAATGCACAATCTTCTAATGTTACACAAAACAGTTATATACATATATACGATAACATTGAAAATTCTTTATTTAAAAACACTAAGTTATTAAAATGAGTAAAAATGACATAGTAAAATTAAAATTTCCAAAACTCACTACTTGAAAGAAAACAATGACATGGATTAGAATATATATAAAATAGGAAATAAATCATCATCTGTCATTAATGGGAAGACTTGCATGCTTTCAAAATATTCATAATTTTAAGTCAGACAAACAAAAGTTGCTTAGGGGAGGATGCTTCTTTTATATTTAAAGTCTCTTTAGAGGCGTTTTAGGTTCCGCTTACTCTGGGCACTTCCTGGAAGAGCATCTTTTCTATTTCTTGGCCTTGCTGCTCCTCTACTACATTCTTCAGACCCATGATAAGCACACAAACATAACACACAAAAGTCAAAACCACAGGCGGTGCGACTACACAGTCCCCTTTTCTTATAGGGCTGGTACTTAGCAGGGGATTGGCACCTTGGGCAAGGTTTTAATGCTTCATCAATAAAAAGTGTTTTGGCAACCTGCGGTGAAAGCACACACACTAAGTCTCCTGGTTTCACGTACAGCGTTGCTTTATTTCAAAGTCTGTAAACACTTATTTCTAATAACTTATACTACATACTTACCTTAACATATTCTTCCTGTTTACTACTTAAGGGAGTAACAGCAGAACTTGCTACGGGTGTCAAAACTTCTCCCCAAGGAGAAAATGTTGAAATTTGTTCTCTCTGAAAACCTGGTGTCCTAGCCTGTGCTTGCACAGATCTTAAAGCTGATCGATTTAAAAGATGGAGCCGAGTGGCAGCATCCTCAACATTTAATATAGCCCCCTGTGGTAAAAGACAAGAGGGTCAACACTGTAACAGCAAAAGATCCCGGACAGCTTTACAACGCATGTATTCGAATGTTTGAAAGTGGTCTGACACCACTAGGAATTCCTCCCTAAACCATCCCTTTCTAAAAAAAAAATTTTCTCTCATCTAGCATTTAGAAGTCAAAGAAATATAAAAAGAAACAGATAAAACAATAAATGCTAGCTTTGAGTTTGCAGGATTTCTTAATTTTTCTGTTTAAGGCATGGGTCTGCAACTTCCTGAAAAGGACCAGATAGTTGCAAGCTAATCAACTGTTCTGTTTTTGTCTTTTCCTTTAGCAAAACGCAGCTGTAGAGGTAGAGGTACATAAATGAAGGAACAGGGCTGTGTTTCAATAAAACTTACTTTAAAAACACAGGTAACAGACAGGATTTGGCCCACGGACTGGAGTTTACCAAGCCCCCTTTCAAGCTAAAGTCCAAGTAGAGATGAATCTTTCCAAAGTTTGCTATGCGACATAATTTGAAGGTTTCTTACCTTAGCCACACGTCAGAAGAATAATGGGTGTGATTAGACCATGAAACCCAATCTGTTTGGCTGGTTTTCACAAATACCAAATACTTACAATACTTGTAAATGCCTGATTAATTTTTACCCTTAAGTTTTAAAAAGCTTTGATATTTTAAGAGAAAAACATCTCTTATTTGAACTGGATTTCCACATGACTCAAATATTTAGCCAAGAAATACTCTCAACGAGTAATCCTTATAGCCTTCTACTTCGTTAAAGTTGGGAATGAGAAAAAAAAATAGTAAGTTTTTTTTAATAAATTGGCATTCTTAACCAATTATCAAAATAAAATGTACTACACGTGAATTTCCTCAAGTGTCCAGCTCTAATTGCTTCCTCTCCATTGATAGTCTCCCTTTGCCACAACTGGCCCCTAACAACGGGAGAGCTAAAACATGAGAAATTATACTCAGATAAGTATAGGAAATGAGGCTAGCTGGTCACGAAAAATTGTGCAATGAACAGTTTAACAACATATGCATAAGTGTAATGGATGAATATTGGTTTTCAGAAATTAGAATGAATTCAGTTAAACTTACCTAAGGATTCAATCAATATGTCTCTTTATAGTACGTTCTAGAAATGATTTGCAGCCTAGGCCAGAAGCACATGACTTAAGAGCAAGCTAAAAGAACACACCCATTGGATATCAATGCAGTTGGCAAACACAGTGATGAGGTGTACACCAAAAAATCAATAGAGATACATTGCTGAAGCAAATTTCAGCCACAGAAGAAACATTCCTCCATTTAACAAATATTTGTAAGACACCCAATAGCTTCTGAGTGAATCAAACAGTCTAACTCCTGTCCTCCTGGACCTTAAAACGTGTGCTGCTATCTCTGAACAGCAGAAGGCTCAACAGTCATCAAAGGCACGTGTTCGTGAGCAACAACATGTTTCAAAGGATAGTCATCATCACGTTACCAGAAAATATTTAAGGGTAAGAGTGGAGCTGCCTTATTGTTGTTCATTTCCATGTTTATAAGAAAACAGTGAGGACTACAGTAAATTAAGAAATTTAATCGAAAAGGTGTGATCTTCCAATTTTTATGGTCATTCTCATTTTGCAAAGCAAACATAAAATTGAGATCCTATTACATTAGTTGGTCTGTGCATTTTAATTTCACACATAAGGAACTTTCAGTGATGCTATACAAGCCTGAGGAAAACCACCAAACAATTTTGTTTTACACTTTTTCTGTTTCAGTCAATGACATACACTTGGATAGTTCAGGTAGAAAGCAACCAGTCCATTTCAGAATAAGAAGGCAAAGGGCACCAGGAAGATTGTCTCTGAGGAAAAGAAGGAACCGTTAGAATACCTGATTTATTCAGACTTACACAGAGGAGATTCCCAGTTCTGGTGGATAATAGGAGATGAATCAGGGATCTGTACAGAGAAAACACTAAGCAAAAAAATAAAAAAAAAAGAAAGAAAAAAAGAAACTGGGCAATTATTAACTGAGGAAAAAAGTTATATAAGAAAGAGTGTACAATAGATACAATCATAGTTTACTACATGTTACAGCTGTCAAAAAGTCATAATAATCTCTACACAGTCTTAATAATGTTAGCACCCAATTCAGACTTGCTCCCAAATGATGGCGGAGTTACCTTCATAAGACAGGAGGAAGGATTTCATAGGGAGAGGCAGGTAAGGTGCAGTGAGAGGTTAGAGAACTAAGCTAGTCCCTCTATAGAAACAAAACAAGAAACAGCGGTGAAGCCATGCTGTTTGGAAACATGGAGGTAAACCTCACAAGAAACAACTAAAGAGTTCAAAGTGATTGCTTTGATGAGGCAAGAATCAAGAGTGGGAAGGGACAGGGCAGGACAACGTGTGTTCTCAGCCTCAAAGTCCAATTTAACATTTTAAACCAGGTACTTGTTTTTATTTTTAAAAATTAAAAAGCAAATAAATATAGGAAAAAAGCACAAGTAAGGAAAAGGTATAGTCCTTTAAGAAACCAAGTTTAAAAAATAGTGGTAGCTAGCACATGAGGGTAGAATATTTTATCTAGAATTACCCAAAGGTTGCCAACACAACCACATGCTCCTTTCATATAGGATGTAAGGAGGATGTGGAACTAAAAGTTTAATATTAATAGGTACTTGCTTAAAAATTTGGGGCTTTTTTTTGGTCTGTCCTTAGCATGTAGGGCAGCATTCTAAAACTTAAGAATTTTTATTAAGAGTTAATAATTAAGAAAGCAATTAATGTCTTCACTATTATAAGCCCCCAGAACCAAGCACTGCAGCAGTAAGTAGCCAAGAGCCGGAATAAGTCATGAAGGATTACCACAGGTGAAAAGGGAAAACTTTTCTTCAAATAAAATGGAAAGGCAACGTTTTAGTTCATAGCAGTCCCTAATAATTTCTTGGAATGAGAAACGCCCCAATCTGTACCTGGGTATTCATGTTTGTCTATGCCGTGCTTCATCTCAATTATTGTATTTAGTCAAAGTATAAATTTACTTATGTTATTAAACACTTTTTACTAGAACAAGGATAAGGAAGTTAACTCTCAGAGTTTCTTTGTTATTGATGTCTAAGAAAGGCCTAAAAGTTGAATATACAGTAAATACGGATGCCAGAGTCATCAGATGCTGTTATGCATAGTGTCCCCAGAAAGAATTAAATCAGCTGTAGGACTTCTTATAATTTCAAAGCTGGACCTCATATCTTCAGGGAATACAGGTTTATGATGCTTTACAAGTACTAATCTGCCACACTCACTCACCTCCAGGCCTTCATATATGCTCCTCCCTCTGCTGAAACAGAGTCCTCACCTGGCTAATGCTAACTCATTATTCAGGTCTCAGCTGAGATGCACTTTTCCCTTCTCTTGATCCCCAAGTATCAAACACTCCTTTTAAATGTTCCAATAGAACTACGTCTGGGCTTCCCCTACCACACCTGTGTTGTAACCACCTGTTTATACCTGTATCCCCCACAGGATATGAGCTCCAAGAGAGCAGGGACCATGTCAAAAATGTTCTCCTTTGTAATCTGAGTGACTGGTCTGTAAGATCCACTCAAAAGACTGGATAGAAAATGCTATAAAGATGCCTAATGACAAATAGGATCCAGCACATCCTAATCGAGTGGTGTTCAAATTCTGCTAACAGCAGATACACTTAAACAACAACAAAATCCAGCAAGACGTTCTTGGCATCACTCAGTCTACTCCACTTACAGACTGGCTAGAAATGGAGTTTGGGGAAAATCAAGAGTTTACAAATGAATGTTGGTAAATGGTGAGGTTAAAAGATAGCAGGAAAACCAAATTAGGTTGTCCAGCAATTTGGGGCTATTAGGTATTTATACAAATCCAGTTTATAATAGTATTACATACATTACCTCAGAATCCGTTTTCAGTTGTGTGATATGAAATTTCCTCCTCCGATTTGCTTTTTTATCTTGAACAATAATTTCACGCCAATTTCTACTCACTTTCCAAACACTGTAACAAAAAGATCAGTCCTAATATTGTATATATTCCACAGAATTAACATTTTTTATACATAGCAATTAATAAGAAAAGCTCATTTTAAAGATTTTGGATAGTTAATTTAAACCTAAAAACTTACAATAAAAATATTACTTGATCTGCCTAGTTGTGAAAGAATACTTCTTAAAATAAAAATATTGAAACATACCAGCACCATATTATTATCTTATAAACGGTTAAGGAAAAAACAAAGTTTCATATAAACTCGATATAAGTCCACTGGGAAACTGATTAAGATAATTTAACTTAAACGTGATACCAAGATTAAAAATGTGGAACATGGCATGCAGCAAATGATTATCATCGATAGTGCAAGAGATTTTTGTAAATTTCTCCTCTTATTGTATTTAACAAATCTGTCGTTTTGATTAAATAAACACAAGAACAATCAATCCTTCGCTGCAAGTACTAAGTACCAAATACAGTTGATCCTTGAAAAATATGGGTCTGAACTCTGTGGGTCCACTCATGTGTAGGTTTTTCTCACTAGTAAATACTGCATGGTCCCTCATTAGTTGAATCCATGGAAGGGGAACTGTGGATGTTGAACCTTGGATATGGAAAAACCTCAGCTATGCAGGGTTGACTATAAATTATACAAGGATTTTAGACTGCACGGTGGAGGCTCAGCACCGCTAATCCTTGGTTGTTCAAGGTCAATTGTAATAAATATTATGGGCAGCACTACGAAGTTCCTTTTTTATAAAACAAAGTTTATGAGAATGAAACAACTAAAGAAACAACACAATTTATATCCAGTGATGTATTTACTTATCAATAACTTTGACTATATTAATTATTAAAGAAAAGCTAATCCTTCAACTGTTAATCCGGTTTTTTTTTATTACTTTAACTTAACAAGTCACTCAAAGTGAGTAACGTCAGGAGAAGGTTGAAAAACAAGTCACTTGGTATGGAGAGCCCCAGGTTATACTTGAGTTGTCAACACTCCCTAAGCAGATACATGTGCCTTATAGCAGATAGGTGGAGAATAGTCAGAAAGTCACCCATTAATGGGGAAGAAATGAACTACATAATTGCGTATTCGCCCCTCAGCTATTTCAACTGACTAGTCTCTCACATTACCGAGAATAAGCACTGCCAACATCACACATGCATGCCACAGTACAAATACTATAAATTTGGAGGGATGGACAGGAAGGGCAATTATTGAAATATGACTGAATATCATCTGCTTCCCCAAGTGAGCACCCAAAAGTGTCACCCAAGTTTTTATTTTAACTGGTTGTATCCAAATACTCCAGTATATAAAAATAAAACTCCAATATCTCAGCCATCTCCTTTATTTTTTTAAAAAAAATGTATTTCATTTGAACATTTTTTGAACATTTCTTATTGATTTATAATAATTTTACAATGTTGTGTTAAATTCCAGTGTAGAGCACAATTTTTCAATTATACATGAGCATATATATATTCATTGTCACATTTTTTTCTGTGAGCTACCATAAGATCTTGTATATATTTCCCTGTGCTATACAGTATAATCTTGTTTATTCATCTAAACCTTTTTTAAAGGCACAAGCATATATGTCATTGATCTGCTTATTATCCTACTTGGGTTACACCAAATATATTCCTGATCAAGCCTATTCTGAGAAGCCTTAACCTTAATAAGAGTCTGTGGGACTTAGAAATCAGATGGCTCAGTTGTAGATCTGGATCTATTCCTATCTCCTTGAGTGACTACTGGCAGGTCACTTAACTTCTCTGGAGCTCAGTTTCTGCATCTGCAAAATATGTGACAGGACTAGATATTTTAGAAGACTTCCAGCTATGAGATTCTCCAATTCTCCACAGTAGCCTACATTTAATTTATGGGGAAAAGGTGAAGAAGGGCTTTAATGGAAGTAGGGGCCACAAAAAGAGCAACGACTCTATGAACCAAACTCTTGACATCTACCTGTTACAGAAGAGGTTCGCTACCTCCCTTAGATGCCCTGCCCCAACACCTTGCAGAAATCCTGTTCCACATGACCTCCCTCCTTCCTGCTCAGGGTATACCCAAGGGGCTTGTCTTCTGATAGTCCTGTGCTTCCCAAAATTGCCAGTATAAATGCAGTCTCACTGTAGTTTTTGTCACTTTAGTTAGTTCCCAGCCTCAATTCTCCTATATATGACTTCGTTTCTTTCATTATTAAGCAGCATTCAATATACTGAAATTTCTGTGACATTTCTGTGACACTGAAGAATTTCACTAAATCGCCTTTGATAAAGTATAAGATAACCAAGGTAGAGATAATAAAACAAAACAAATTTAAAAAAAAAACCCAGGGTGATTACTCAATTAGCAGAAAAACTTTCCAACTTAAAAAAAGAAAGTGATAAAAGGCAACTGTATTTCAGAAAAAAAATTTCTTACCTGCATAGGCTTTCTACAGTCAAAGAGTCCAAAACCATAGCAAGAATATGCTTTAAATTTCTGCATTTTAATTCTGTTAAGATGTCCAGTTTTTCTATACCCATTTTCTTGCCAATCAGTCCTGCAAGTACATGCTGTAGTACAGCTATTCTCTCCCCGTCCCTTTCTTCTAACAATTCATGGGCACCATTTTGCTGGAATCTTTTCCTTTTGCTTTTCATAAAGAGCTCATGCATTAATTGCAAAGCTGGGGTCTTTGATAAATTTGGAAAGCTTAAAATCAAATCCTCACTCTTATTATCACTGCTTGGCTGACTCTCTGAGCTGTCTGAAGCCACCACTGGTGTTGTTTCAGGACCAGAGTGGTTGACCAGCTGTTCTTCTTCTGTCTCTGATTGTGAGCTTTGCTCTCGAAGGGTGGACAGTCTTCTCAACCTTTCAAGATGCCTTGACTTCCTTACAGTGTCCCCGACTTTGAGAGTTCCCTTATGTTTTTGAAGTAGTTCTTGAAAAGAACCCTCTTCTTCAGAGAGGGAATCTTCTGATTTATCTAAGCAAAGAGAGTTAAAACCACTGTCTTCGGGTGTTGAAATGTTGCGTCTCACTTCAGTTGAAGGAGTAAGCCTTTGACTTACGGTAAATTTAATATTTGCTACAAGATTACTTATTGGAGTCACAAATATGTCCTCATCTGTTCCATATGTTGTTCCACTAACAGAGGAGCCCAGAAGTTTGGGATGTGTATTCTCATCGTTAACACATAGACTGCTATCACTGAAGTCATGTGTGAAAGAATCTTTAAAACCACTGCCCTGAATTGGAGATATACATTCAACTTCAAATAGGCCACCATTATCTTTGGAATCATCAACTGTGGAAGTTTTCTGTTGAGAAAAATTAAGCCTCAATTTTTGACTGCTGGAAGTTGCTTCTTCTGTTTTCAAAGTGCTATTAACTAAAGAATTGAAATTATTTTGCCTTGACAAACCTGAAGCAGTGCCTGGAATATTTTTGTTTAAATTGGGAACTTGGCTTATACTACTTTCAAGAGAACTATTTTGTGATTCAAAGTCCCCCTTTAGAAAAGAGAAAGATATGTCCAATCTTCTGCGCAGTAAAAATTTTTTTCCACTGACTTTAGGAGTTTCGCAAAGTTCTGGAGTTTTATCCTTTTCCTTTCTAGGGAAGACAAATCTTACTTTTTGAGTTGGAGACTCTAAATTAGGTGTTAAGGCCAGGCTTGAAGTTTCGGGATGTTCATGGATTAATGTTGAGCCTTTTTCTTTTTTTCCAAAAAATTCTTTATCTGTATTATCAAAGCTGCAAGATTTTAACAGCTCACTGTAGCCACTATCTTGAAATGAAGATGTGGAACACAAGTCTCCAGAGCTGGAGTCCTTGACATTGACAATAGGAGAGTCTACCTCATTTCCTGCTCCAGTGCCAGCTTGACCTGAATGCCTTTCTGACATCTTCAAAACCCGTTTCTACAAAGTGAAAACAAATTTTATTCTTACTTTGAACAGCGTGGCAACTTACACCAAAATACGCTACTTGTTATGAGCATAGATAATACTGGAAAAGTTAAGGCAATAAAAAAGTTACTTTAAAAACAAATCTACTCTACAATATACTCATGTGTATCTTACTTAAAACAAGGTTTTATCATCATAAAAAACAAAATTTCCAGGATATAAATATTCAGAGATTAACTGACTAAGCATAGTTTAGGCACCATGCACAAATATTTCCTGGAAATACATTTGAAGAGAAAAACCTCTCATGGCATCATTTTTAGATGATTTTATTACCTTATGACTTCAACAGCACTGGAGTAAATTAATGTAGTTTTAATATTCTAGCACATTTGTGCTGGCCTATATCTAGTCAGCTGGATATTTCCCTTCAAAGTTCTGGGATGTAAATATAGCTACTTAAAAAAGTCTATATATGTCTTTGGGAAATGGGACAAATGAGTGCTGCCACTGCACTTAACTGTAACTTGGCTAAGCAACTCCGGGATACTGTTATTCATACTTGTAACACAGGCCTGTCTCAGAAATCCAGTCCTCATGACCATTGACAAGGTCTGAGTTCCCAACTTTCATCTTCGCAAAGACTCTTTGGCTCATTGATAAATCACTAACATATTCTTCTTGAGCCAACCAAAATCAACCACTGCCCCACAAACATGGGGCCATTTCAAACCTGGCATGTTACACTCATTCATATCTCATCTCCTAAATATTTTGAGACATAAGGTCAAGTTGCAGGCTTGAATTCACAGTAAACTGGCAAATATTTGCGGACAACCCACCCTTTATAATATATTCTTGAACTTGCAAATAAAAATTCAAGTAAATTACTTAAAGAAGAAATGCGATTCAGTAATTATATTTGTATGGAATGACACTAGGAAATACTTTACTCTTTAACTTTTTCAACAGTATCATTACATTCCTTCTTTTTAGAAACTTGAATTAAATCTTAACTCAAAGAATAAGAAAAAAACAGAAAGTTATAGTTTTTGATACTTCTCCAGATTATTCAAAGGATACTAAGAAAATTTTCATTCTTTCAAAGTTTTCTCCAGACCAAACACATGATTTTTCTCTATTAAAAGGATCCTGGGAAGATACATTTCAGTTGAGTACAACGGGAAAGTTATTTATGCTTAAGCTACATCAATTAAATATATAAGTGGATGAGATTTTATTTTTAAAAATTGCTATTCTAACCACAAAACCGAATAGTTTCTTTATGGTCTAATGATCATTAGAAGGTCATTATTACTGGGCAAAGTATCTAAGTGTTTTTCAACCTTTAAACCTTATATTCCATTTTGGTAAATCTCATACATGTTCTCTTCTGATTTAGATCTCCCCGGATTGTGAGAACCACGGTTCTCTTCTTTGCATGCTTACCAGCCAAGATGATCAAACTTTGCTTTTTACAATTTGGATTATACTTTAATACAATTTTTGTTTTCAAAATATTAAATAAAATAGAATTTGTTTTCAAATTACACCTCCACTCATAAATGTTTCCCCTCTCTGAGAATCATTCTATTAAAAAATAGTTTTCACTCCTGTCATTTGGAGAACTTAGGTCGAGACTTTTTAAAAGTTAAACGTAACTATTCTTCTACTTCACCACCAGGTGTCTCACCATGATAGAATTTGGGGAACTGAGAGGCAAATGGTTAGAAACAAAAGTCGGGGTACAAATACCATTCTCGTCCCGCTAAAAACCACAGACCTCTTGCTTTAAACATATAAAAAACTAATTTTTTCCAGTTCATCTACACATTTGAGGTTGCCTCCAACATGCCTTCTGCGGTGTCATCATTTTCATCTTTCACATTTTCAACCCAAGATAAAAGGTTGAGAACATGTATCTCTATGATGCTCTTAAAAAAAAAAAACTGGTTAACTCAGAATAAAATACTTGTAATAACATAAGGACAAATTAGAACTAAATTTCCTTCATTTGTTAAAGTGGAAAAATCTTACCATCAGTAAATCTTGAGCTCTAGATGTCAATGTTTTGTAGGATTCCAAAAAAGAAAATTTCTCACTTTGTCTTTAAAATTCATACCAAAGTAAAACCACTTAAAGAGAAAACTTTTGTTTGAAAAAGTAATTGAAACGTGCAGTAGCACGATGCCGGCTAAAATTTTCAGGGTCCATAAACTACATGCTGTAGGGATTATTTCTAACACTCGAAACTGCCTTACTTATTTTGAATTTCCTCCAGCTTTCCAGACAACAGTAATTTTAATATCTTTGATTTCTCCAGCTAGTCCTGGATCTGAGGAAACTCCCCAAATTCGGGTTTCCGACAATGCAGTGTAAGCTGCAGCGCTGTCATCTCCTCCCCCGAGATGCCGAGGGCGGGCGGGTGGTTAATGGTGTCCCCAGGTTGTCAACTAGCCCGCCCGCCCCGCCGCGGACCCTCCCCGGGCCAGGCTGGGAGGGAGGCCCGGCCCGGCCCCGAGGCCCGGAAAGCCACCGAGCGGCCGAGAGTGGGCGGGCGTCACCTGGAGCGGAGAGAGCGGAAAGTGAACGGCGTCGGGGCGCCTCTCTAGTCCCAGGGCCCGGAAAGCAGAGCGGGCGCGGGGCCGGGGGACGCCCGAAGGCCCGCTAGCCGCACACGCCTGGCGTCCGCCGCGCCCGCCCACCTGGACACCACGGCGCGGCCGCACCGACGGGGCCGACGGGCGGGGACACAGGCGGCTGCTGCTGGAGCGCCGGGGAGGAGCCGCGGCCTCGCCCCCAGGGATGCCCCGCTATGGCAACCCCCACGCCGGCTTCGCGTGGGGCCGCCGCGTTTCCCTCCTTCGGTTTGAACCGCCCGCCCCGAGTAACCGCTATGCGCCGCCCCGCGCCGCGCCGCCCCTCCCTCCCGCTCCGCGGCGCCCCCAACGGCCGCCCCGCGACGTGCAGGCCCCCGGCCCCTGCCTCCGCTGGATGAGGTCTGGTCCTCGCTTTTCCACCCTCAGAGGCACAGCGAGGGCTTCCTAGTTTGCTAGGCTTTTCCCTGCCCCATTTTAACTCTGGGAACATTGTATGGAAGGGCTAATAGATCCTACAGCGGGATGCCATCAAAAATTACGTAGAAGAACATTCACTTGAAAATGTTTCCGGAGATGAAATTGAACGTGAGAAGCGGGTTACATAAACTGAATGACTCCTTTTAGGTTATAGATATACATAGCATAACGTCTGAAAGGTATGACTAAGTTGGTTATAGCATCTCTAGATGAGATTATGCTTTTTTTTTTTTGGCATCTAAAATGCGATGTTTTATTTTATTTTCTGGCCAGGCCCCATCCTTTTGCTCTTGGCAGCTTCTTTCTAATCTCTTTTTTGTGGCTTCTTTTCTTCTACTTATTCCCTAAATAGGGCGTCCTGCCCAGCATTTTTCTTACTTTACCATTTTGTGCTTACCTAATTCTCAGAGCGACAACCATTGCTTTAAAGCCAGTAACAGCCACTGCTACGACTCTCCTCCAACAGGCCATTTCTCCATCTGGATGCCCCTTAGATATCCTAAATGCCATATATCCAAATCGAACTCACTAACAATTATTAAGCTTTGACTATGTGCCAATTCCTGGGCTCAGTACTGGGAATACAAAGATAGACACAGCTACCCTGAATGCTATAGAATGTGGTAGAGGAATGGTAGTAGCGCAAAAGAAAGACGTATTAACTAACCCTACGCCAGAAGAGGGGCCAGAGCTAACTTTAAAAAGGCTGTGACATGAGATGGATTTTGAAGGACGAGTGGCAGTTTCAAAGACAGATAACAGGTGATTCCAAACTCAAAATGTGCAAGAGCAGGAAAATTGAAACAGTTGGGCACACTAGAGAAACTAAACAATTTGTAATAGCTGGAAACTAAGAATTGTTTGAGGAAAGGGCAAAGAAAATTCTTGAGAAGGAGAAGAAACCAAGCTATGGAGAATTTTGGATGCATATTAAGAGTCTGAAGTTTATCCTTTAGGCAATGCAGAGCATTTTAGAAAGACCACTCTGGTGGCAGAATGGAGGACAAGAGGAAGATAAGTGAGGGTGGCTTAGGAAGCTGCTGCATTACTCTGGAAGATAGTGCGGTGGGGGTGGGGGGGAGAAGAACCTGGACTCACATTCAGTTGGCAGAATCAGCCGTATGGAGCAGGGGGTAAGGAACAAAGAGTACAGGTTTAGGAGAAAGTAAGATGAATTTAGTGTGAGGTTGTTAAGTTTGAGGTACCTGGAGGACTTATGGTATGGAATTGGTAAATTACACATTTTTCAAGACAGCAGCTCCTTGAAGCCTTCCTCACATGCTCAGGGAGAGTAAGTTGTGTTCTTTCTAGCCCCTCAAGCAAGTCTCTTTACAGTAAAGTCTCTATTTTGCCACTCCCTGCCCAGCACTTGCAGTCCTCTGCTTTTGAATTTTCTCCATGCAATTTATCATGTTCTAAAATACATTATTTACTTATATTGTTTATTGTCTGCTCCCCACTACACTGTAAACAGGGCAGGAGATTTTGCCTATGGTTAAGTAAAATCCACATGACCTTAAACACCATTTAAACATTGCCCTTTTCTCTTTCTCTAGTTAATTATTCTTTAGATATTTCACTATGACTGAAGAGTAAAAGAGCATATCATAGCACCCTTTTATTCATTCAAAGAATAATTTTTACACCCCTCCTCCCAAAAAAGGGCAAAAAGACACCTAGTTTCATGTAGCTTGCCCTAGCTTTACTCATATACCCCAAATTTAAGCTACTGAGCTGTATTTTCCTATTCTTTACCCATCACAGTCTTTGGCCTTTTTCCTTCCTTTTCTGTATTGGGTGTCATCCCATTACTGACCTCAGAATTCTAAAGCCTGTATGTTTTCCACAGATCTAATGCTTCTTTTGGGGACCATCTGGTAAAACATAATGGAAGACTTTTCCATCGTGATATTCAAGCTATGCAGATATACTTAAATGAATATGATCAAGGTTAAAGGAAAACAGATATTCAGGGAAAAAAATAGCAACTTGCATCTCCACAACCATATAATAAGGAGTTAAAAGCACTAGTATCCAAGGGCAAGACAACACCCTCATTAGTAGAGAGCAATGCAATGATATCTGGCATAGTGTAAATGCTCAAGAAAAGTTAGCTGTTACCATTGATAAGAGCTTCCACTGACCATGCTCCATAATGATCCTTAAACTACTGGTTCCTGCTGATAGGAGAGAGTGTTGGATTGGAAAGTAGCCTCAACATGAACTCTTGCTGAAATTCTGGATCTCCTTGCTACAACATGTCTTTACCCTACCCCTCCGTAGGGTCCCAGGACCCATTGGTATTCTACATGTGTTGATCCATTCTGATATCCACAGACTGTGTTATGTGCCAGCATCATGCTGATACCTCAAGCTGGAGAGTCAGAATCCAGGTCAGCTTGCAATGATTAAAGTTCCACTTTCTGGATAAGTCCACCAACTTTCTCTTATGATAATAATGGTTTTATTTAGTACTTCTTGGAGGGAAGCTTATTTTGACTGTTCTATTGGATTACCTCTTCCCTTTGGCTAAGAGGAGAGGGACTTCAGAGGAGAGCTGATGGTCAAAATATTTATGTTCTATCTTAGCCTCTCTGTGGGGGAAAAAGCGGGACACTCCACCGTGTTTTCGGGAAATTTAAAAATTGGCATCTAGGAAGACTGGGAGGATCGAGTTAAAGCTCTCAAGTTGGTTTGTGGAGGTGCAACCAGTTGGAACCTCTTCTGGAAATGAAAGGTGAAGCTCTAAGTTTTCGAGTTGCTGGATGGAAGACCGGAAAGCAGCATAGCCTGCTTAATAAGAAACCAAAGTAGTGCGTGTTGCAGAGAAAGAAATCTGCTTCTCCTATTAACTGTTAGTTATTAACAACTGGTTATTTCCTAAATTTTAATAACTTTTCTTCTCCCTCCTTTTGATGTACGTAAAATATTTGCTGTGAAAGAAGCAAACAAATGTTGTGAACCCAACTGATATTCTCACAAATATTTTGAGCTTTTAAAGAACACGCCTCCACTGGGCAGGTCGTTTTGTTCTTCTGGGGAGGTATACATGGGACGAAAGGAGAGTCAGTAGACATTTACCACTACCTAAATCCCTTAAGTGGAAATAATTGATGTAGCTGCCCTCAAGCCCGCCTATGCTTTAAGCGAGTGAAAGGCACAGGTGAGAGGGATGATAGACGTCTAGGCGAGAAAGGGTCAAAAAGGTAAAACGAAATTACACGAAGGATAGGGGGCAGTTGCTCCAGTGCCCCAGCACAGGTACCAAACGATTTGAAATACATAATCTGATAAGTCTTATTCTACGTGAAAATCAGCAGCGGAGCCAATTTCTCTACGTTCCTCTTAGTAACGGTCAGTTTAGAATTCCAAGAGCACTTGCCCTTTGGGTTTCTCTAACCCTCCATCCTCTTGGAAAAGTGTTACTTTCTACCGGCTTCATTTATCAGAAAACAAATCTCCTTGGACACAAGAAACTGCTAAAAATGCTCTGCTTTCCTGAACTGTGAACAACTACACACTTTTGCGCAGCGAGGTTAACAAACAAAAACCCCGCCTTCACCGTTTGTGCTTAATCCAGGTTCCTCGGCCACGCCCTGGGCGGAAGGGGCGGAGACTCCACACTGCGTCATATGCTAGCGCCGGAAGCTGGAGGCGACCCAGCGGCGAGCTGGAATCCGCTTGTAAGTGCAGAGAAGTTCCTCCTTGCTAGGTGGGTAGGGAATTGCCAGTTTGGGGTTTGTGGGGTGGGTATTTGGGCCAAAACTGGAAGGACACTAGAGGTTAAAAAGGTCCGGTGTCGGGTTAAAGTGGGAGAGGCTGGGAATAGAGTTGATGCTGTTAGCCCTTTGCTTGGTTTCTTTCCGTTTAGTTGTTTAGCTGTTGGGAGTTGTTTCATTATTTTTTCCTTGGTTCGTAGGTTCCCGTGTTGAGGGATACAATTTTTTGGTCCTCTCCTGCTAAAGTTTTGAGAAGTAGAACTTGTTCTTGTGTTAAATGAAAACGCGAGTTTCCCAGTTAGATCTAAATCTCTGTGCCTCTTAATAGATGAATAATCCTGCCGAAACTAACGTCCGGAAACCTCGGTTTCTCCATCTGTAAAACTCCATCTGTAAAATAAGAGTATTACCCAGTAAGACTGTTGTAAAGATTATAATGAAATGACGTGTATATATGAAATAACATGTTAAGTGTTTATTATTTCCAGTTTGGGGGTAAATGCGGGGTTACGTTGTTTTTTGTTTCATCCTTTAGATCCACCCATAGGATTTGAAAAAAGTACAGATTAGGAATAGGGACCTTTTTAGCTTTACCTGAGGAGAATGAGGGCTGGTTGGATTTGTGAGGAGCCCCTTTGGGATAGTCAATATTTCAGTCTGTGATTTCAGGGACAATGGACACCCAGAAGGACGTTCAACCCCCAAAGCAGCAGCCAATGATATATATCTGTGGAGGTAAGAGTAGTGCTTACTTAAAGTAAGAGTATTTTACTTCAGTTTTTTTTTTGTTATTGCATTTATCTTTGGCTTAAATGAGCCATTCATCTTTACAGTTAGAAACGAGAACGCTTTAACAATCATTAAAAAAAAATCCTCTCATTAAGATTTCACTTTCTCTCTTAGTGTTACTGGGAAAAGGAAAATAAGAATTACCTCGGTTCTTAGTCACCCGAAAAAATAATTTTTGACAAGAGACAGAAAGCATGATATAAGCAAGATTTCTATTAGTGAAGTAAAAGTAGTAAAAGATAGTACACCCCTGAGAATTGGGAGCGGACCAATCCAAGAGAGGAAAAATGGCGCTGTTCCTTTGTTTTTCCTGTTTTTATATCCTGGTTTCTTGATTAATTGACTGATTGACCTCTCAGGTTCCCTGCACTCTGGCACGCCCATCCCCTTTTGGGCAGGTTCATTGGGTCAAGTTATACCAAGTCCCCCTCCCATGAACAGCTGCAGCGCTTTGATTTTAACTGGCTTTCTTCAGAAAGTAATTTCTGGAGTCCCTTTTCCTAAATGCAGACACACTGCCATTTTCTGGGTTGTTCCTTTCCCCTTCCTCTCCCCCTGCACAGTCCTCATTTCTATCTAAACGTCCTAACACTAGGAAAAGTGCATTGCCCACCACTCTTTTTTTTTTTTTTGACGCCCTTAGTATATTGGTAATAGCAACATACCCTTGAGATTGAGTGTACATATTTTAGTGCTTTGAGTGAAAAGTATGGTTAAGATAATTTGCTTGTCTGTAATATTTCCATTCTAGACATTGAATAAATGTGTTTTCTTTTCTAGAATGTCACACAGAAAATGAAATAAAATCCAGGGATCCAATACGATGCAGAGAATGTGGATACAGAATAATGTACAAGAAAAGGACTAAAAGATGAATCCTTTTAACTGTGCTTTCTAAATATGAGCTAGGAGGAAGTGAAGGCTTGGGTTGATAGTCAAAGACTAATTTCTGGTAAAAATGGTAACACTGTTTGAATTACTTACCAAAAAAGGGGCATGATTAATTTTTATGGACCAGTATGCCAGTGTATAGGCCTGTGCTAAATAAATACTTGTTGATTTGGGTTTTCATAAGTGTATTTTTCAGGGATTCTATATTTAAGTACTCATTCTTGAGCTTGAATTTGTGGACAAACTAAATTATACAAGGAGAAATACAGATATTGAATATGCTGCCTCATGGGAAAAAAGGAGGCTTACAAATTAGCCCGGAAGATTGAGAGTAAATTGTTACGTAGTAACAGTATTTTTTAAATCACTAAGGTGCCACCTTTAACAGTGCTTCAGTGTTCTTTAGTGCACTGGTCTCTTGCATCATGGGAAGGGGATTAATAAAAATTAAAATAGTTTATATAATTTTAAACTGCTTTTTTTTGTCCTTAACTGAATTTAATGCAGTGGTGGTTTTTGATGCTCGATGAAAGATGGAATTAAGAGGAATATCTTCATTTGGATTTGGATTTGCTGTTAATGTTGTATAGCTTTTGATTAGTTTACTTTATGAATACAACTATATACACATGATTTCATTTAAAAAAACGTTGTGTTTAGGTATCTATTAATAGTTTATATAAAGATATTTTTTGTTCAGTCACATGATTTGTGGTTTTATTGTGCATGTAAACTAACACACAATGAAGGTTAAAAGTGCTTCCCCGGACTACACTTTAATCAAAACCTAGAATCATCTGAGGCCCTTGTTTAAAATGAAGTTTTCTCGGGTCCTCTAAAGGACTGATTAAGTAACTTCCTAAGAGGCCACTGTTTTACATCACCAACTGTAAATTCTCCAGCATCATTCTATGCTGTATGGAGTACACAAATGTACTTAACTGTCAGTGTGCATACCTCATTTTGAGTTTTCATTTAACTTGGCATAGGCCTTTCTGTGTATGTATGTAATGCTTGACTATTTTTTGAATTTTGGGCAAGGGAAAAGAAACTTTAATGGTTGTTTTTTGTAGGGCAAAATCAACCCCAAGTAAAATGGATGAAGTGGACTATTAAGGCAAGTTCAGTTTCCCAGGTATAATCATTCATTAAGTTAAAAAATTCTGCTTTCAGGATATGAAAAGGAGTTGCTTTACACTGAACTATTGGATAAATGTTTAAAGCTTTTGCCTTGATTTTAGGGATATGGATACTTAGATACTTCATCTGTTCCAGGAGTTCATCATTATGGAATGCCATATTGGCCTTCCTAATACTCATTTTGAAGATTAGATCTATTCCAGCTTTATTAATAGCTATGTGTGTCTCTGACATTAAAAAAATTAACTATGCTATTAAAAAAATGTTATTCTATCACTATCCTCAAATACTAAGTTCTATAAATTTATGTGCTATACAAAGTATTATTATGCTCAAAATTTGTACAGTACTTCCTTGGTCCAGGTTTTCCTGGACTGTGGCTTTCATAATTTGGTAATTCTGCCATGTTCCTTCTTGACCTTGTTCTTTTTATATAAAAGAGTTCCAGTAAATATCTTTTTGATAGTACCCTAAACATAACCGAACTCACTGGGCAGCGCTTGCTAATGATTCTGATTTCATCATAGGCCTTTTGCGTATCAGTAGTTTAATTGAATATTGTTATTTGGTTAACTAGACAGTGATTTGATGGGAAAAGTATTACCACTGGAACTCAAGACCATCATTTCAATCAGTTACTTACCCCTTGGTGTCCCCTTCATGTATAAAATGGGTATAATTTTACTTCTTAACCTACCTGGACAGTTTTAAGCAAGGGTAAAATAGATATAAAATAGCTTTAAAAAGATCCTTTTGCATAGTGTTTGAAATATAAAAATCAGTAAATCTGAGCTTGAAGTTAAGTCATAACTTGTCCCCTACTAAACTGCTTACCAGTGTCTCTAGACATGCAGGTCCATCAAAAAAAAGCATGGAAATTGGTTCACATCCAACCCTGCTACTCAGTTACTGGCCAGTTCACTTCATTTCTTTTAACTTCAGCTTCATTGTCAAAGTTGAGGAATTAATGATGGTCAGAACAGTGCTTTGAGATTCTGAAGCTATCTTCAGAGATTGAAGTTAGGAAAAATTCAAAAATAGATGAAATCAGAAATGACCAATTCTAAGGAAGAATAAACTATCGCATAAGGTGAGAAAGTATAAGCTGAGAAGATGTAAGAACAAGTTGCCTCTTCACATATACAAATCCACCCACCCGACCCTCTGCCCAGACTCAAAAGATTTCTCCATCTGTTCTGTGGAAATTGTCACTATAGGGGAAGCCAGTTAGGGGCCACTTGTACTAGTCAATGCTACCATTAACGTGGTGATAGCTGTGGAGGGAGTGAGAAGTAGATGGTTATGACATGTTTTGAAGTTGAGCTAACAGAGCTTACTCATGGGTTGGTTAGTACTTAAAAGAGTACTTAAACAGTATGGACTTTGGTGAAAGGCTTTGGGTCCATATTCCTACAGTGTCCCATGTTAGATGGCAGTGACTTTACCAGGATTTACTTTCCTTATTTGTAACATAGGCATGAAATAATAGCCCTACCTCAGAGGTTTGCTGCAAGATAAAATGAAATAATCCATAAAAACTCTGAACCTAATAGATGTTAACTGTTAACACCTTTACTGTAAGTATTAGCATTTTCTACACGGATTAGCCTTAGGGTTAGTCTCAGCTACTGGTCTTGCTGTCCTCCATACTCTTCAGCTTACCTTTTCTAAAATAGAAATTTCGTGGCGCTGTTCTGCTGAAAGTCCTCAGTAGCTTCGCATTTTGATAAAAACCAAACTGTTGGGAATAGTGTATTTGGTCCTTAATAATCGGAATCCTTTCCTGCCTCTGTCACCACTTGCAACACACCTCTCAATCTTTTGGTTATAAGGAAACATTTGCAGTTCCTTAAGCAGGTAACAGACCTTCTTTCTTTCTTGCCTGTGCCTTTTTTCATGCTTTTCTCTCTGTAAGGACATTTTTGTGTGTTCTTCACCAGCATCAGAATTTTGAGGTATTGCTTTATTGTCTTCTAGCTTTCAGTATTGTTGAAAAGTCCAACGGTGTAGCACAGTTACAGTGTTTTAACTATCTGAAAGCGCGAAAAGTGAGAGAGCTCACACTGCTCCTCTTATTTTTCGGCTTCTGTTCCTTTGTCGGGGTGAAGCTGGGCCTGCAAGGCCAATCAGTGGGGTGTCAGATCGGAGACTAGCCAATCATCCCGCAGATGCCCTAGTCCCCGCCCTCGGCGGTCAGCTGCATGCCCTTGGGTGCCGAGGCGGGGCGACACGCCCTTCCCTCGGTAACTGCTGGGCAGCGGGTAAAGTGTGCGGCTGCGGCCTCCTCTGCACGGCTCGGGCCCAGAACCAGGTGAGTAACTCCCGGCTGGGAGTAAATTACGTCTTCCCATCGCGATCCCTCTCTCCTCGAGCTGGCGTGAAAGACGGACCCAGTGGAGCAAATTCCCTGTCGGACTGGAGTGGGAGGGAGTATGTGGGATAGAACAATCTTCTTGGTCAGGGAAAACAAACTGGGGGCGTTTTGTTTCTCTCTGCCGACAGTGGCGCATGTTGGGGCGTGATGGCAACACGGGGGTTCTCGGGGTCTGCCGGCTGCCACCAGGCCTGGTGAACAAAGCCGGGGAATGGGGAGCAATTTCATGGGGTCCTAAGGGCCTCCTGACCGTTGCAGGTTGGCTGTAGAGCTCCCGGATCCCGGCCAGTCCCTGACCCCGCCGCCCTCTCGCGCCGCGCTGTACATAGAAACCGTTGCTACGGCCGGAGTTTGCCTTTTCCTTTCGGTCTCTGGCTGCAGGGGGCGCTGTGAATGCTGGAAAACGTGCCCAGGTGGAAGAAAGCAACTTTTCGTGTTAAGTAAACCCATCACGGCTTACTCTGAAGGTATTACTGATAAACTGATTAGGAAACATGGGAAATTGATGTGGATCAAGATGATGGAGAAAAAATTAAAACCAACTAGGACCAAAGTTATTCTGAATCAGAGACACAAAGATTGCAAAAAACATGGAAGAGTTCTAAACCGGGCAAATAAAGTATTGTATAACTTATTTTGGGGAACATGAAGATTAACATTTAGTGGTCTTGAGAATGTATATCCTGCCAGAAAAAGAAAAGGTGGTTTTCAAAAAGGATTCTTAGAAACGTTATGAAATTCGTTTGATTAGTTAGGAGCTGTCTTTATCATTTCAAATGTTTTTCACTGTTGTTTTATTCAAATCATGAAATCTCAAGAGTTGCAAGACTCCTTCAATTCGAGGTAATCTGTTTCAATCCCATTAGATGCTTAAATCCCATCAGAGATCCTCTGGCTCTTTGGAAAAATTCTCCTAAAGACAACCCATTTTATTTGGGGCAGCATCAATAATTTAAAAATTCTTCACTTTCCTTCTTGTAACTTCTAGACTTAAGGCTCTCCTTGTGATGAGAGACATTCATCATACTGGTTCCCTGGTGGTATGGTGTGAAAGCCATTCTCATTTCTCAGCTGGATTTCATCCAAAAGCTGACAAACTGTTACCTATTTACTATACCCAAGTCAAAGCCAGCAGGGATATGGAGGAGATGTTGACAGAGCATCCTCTTTTTCTGCAGACATTTGATATATGACCAGACTCCCAGAGGGCAGACACGGTGAAGGAGATACTAATGAGTTAGACCCATTGCTACTTCTTGTTTTAAAATTTATCCAAATATGTTTTAGTGCAGTGGTCTTTAAAAACTTTGACAATAACTCATAATAAAACTTTTTTTTGCAACACGTGCACTGTATACACATATATTTATAATTCTCTTTGTATAGTCATGAAATGAAAGTTTTTACAAAACAGTGTTTAATGGTGTGTGTTAGGTGGTCTGTTTTTATTGCTGTTCTATCATTATAAAACAATGCTGATTGCAACTCACTAGATTTATTTCATGGGTTGCCACCTGCAATTTGAAAAGCGCAGTTAAGTATGATGGTTAAGTATGCGGGCTCTGTAGTTACCTACTGAGATTGAGTTCTTCAGTTCACTACTTAATAGTTTAATGACTTTGAGTAGTTTGTATGCTTGAAATGTCACCTTTCTTATCTGTAAAAAGTAATTTTAATATCTTTCATGAAAGTGGTTTTGAAGATTAAGTGAGATAATCCATGGCATATAATAATTTAGTTCCATAAATATTAACTGTTACTACTGCTCTGTATTTAAAATAAACCTATATGATGCAGTAGTAGTTGAAGGATTAATGAGGTAATAATACACATAAAATACATTAAGAACGGCATAAGTATTTGTTCTTGTTATTATCATCATTAGTAGCAGTATATCATTAAAGTGAAACTCTCCAAGGCCTTATTGTCAATTCAATTGAATTCAGCAAGTTTTTCTTTCTTAGGGGATATAAGACAGTACTTACTGAAATGTTAGTTCTGAAGCTCTGAGATGAATAAAGTAAAATCTCTCACAATCTAGAAGGGAAGACAAAAAAACATAATTTAGATACATGAAAAGAGGTATGTATAAGATGCCATTAGAACACAGATCTAGGAGCTGTTCATTGTTGGGAGTGGGTAACTGGGAATGTAAGGAGGCAGGGAATGGGGAAGAGGGTGATGTTAAGGC